GGTCTTCACTGATCACACGTCGATTTTTTCCACCGATGAAGTTAGGTAATTTATTTTTTAAGTTAGGTAATGTTTTCGTAAAAGTAATAATGTCCGATGTGAATCCACTAAAGTTAAATGGTTTGTAATGTTCGAAATTTATGTGTTTCTGGTCAAATATCTGAAGTTTTCTGTTTAATAAGCGTTATAACAATCACAGTTATAGCTTCCGAAGTTTATAATATACCAACTGTTGCACATTAATAATATATATATACTGTTTTTTGGCGCTTCGCGTTAGTTATATTTATAGGCGTGTGGAGAGTTTTTCGAAATTTCAGCTTACGCAACAATACTGACGCTATATTACCGTTTACGTACACACGTATATATTGTTGATTCTTACACTCGAGAATATTCTACAACTTTAGAGAATAGGCGGAATTTCGTAACACAGATTGAACAGTATAAGTTATATACTTTTCTAAATTTAAATTCAACTTAAACAAATATCGATATTAAAATAGATATGTAATAGTAAATCCGTCACATATCGTACATTCTTGGTGTTATTTTTTTTATTATTATTCATATAATAACGGCTGTTGCATGTAGTTTAGCGTAATCTATTTAAACACAGGAACCACGTGTGTTTCACCAAGCAAAATAATATACTCTTATAAATTCACATGATAACATAAAGCAAGTCAATCAAGAAATACTACTTTATTGTTGAATTTCCGGCCAAATATCACAAAGATATGTATTAATAGAGAGATCCGTGTTCAAGTCGGGCCATTACTCCACATCAGATGATTTGTGTATATCTCATTTATCTGGGTTATACGCTAAAGAAAAATTGACTTTCACTACAGCCTACTATAGGAATTTTAGCAATGAAACACATGTAAGTAAGTATTTATTTAGCTACTCTGGCATGCGTGAAAATTTTTTCTGTCCATGTTTGAGTCGAGTCATAGACTATTTATAAAGACACAACCTTATTATGTAATAAATCTTTATTAAATATACAACAAACCTGATATTCAAGAACAGAAAGATAATGAGGTAATAAATTCTACCATCTAGGAAATAAACCTTTTTATACTAAATTTCCCAAATATTTATTTTTAGTTTTTCATAAAGCAAACGTCTAACTAAAACGTGTCTTGCTTTCAGTTAAAGTTTATTTTTTATTAATTGCCTTCAATTCGCTAACTTCAATTTTTGTATTCTACCTTGTTAACTATACCTTGTCAAAAGATTATGGGCCTCTAAAAGCATAACAAAACAGGAAAATGTAATTTTGTGGCTATAGGTAATCCTTAACATGTTTTATGTGATAAATAATAGTGAAAAGTAATGTTTCACACATCACATTTAAGGTAATATGCTCCTAAATTGTGTTTTTATATAGCAGGGAAAGTGACATGAATTTATCTGAATGTTCCTCCTCTCCCGTCGTGTGGTTCAGCGGTAATTCTCACATTTTATAACATTAAAATTCAGGTTTCGATACCCGAGATGGGCAGAGCATAGATAGCCCATTGCGCAGCTTCGTGCTTAATAACTAATAAACAAAATTGATTGGGTATGCTTCTTGTGGACTGCGGAAATGATACTTGTTAAGAATGTTGAGAATGAGAAGGTGCTAGTGTGTGACTTGAATTGCAAAACGTGAAGTGTAAAAAAATACATGTGGAAATGGCAAGAGATATTGGAATATACAAAACGCTAAATATTTCCTCACTTGAGGAAATGCAAATACTGCTTCTCCAATAAAGGGTTAAACAATGCTAGTGACATGAATTCCAGCAGCTTGTATATCCAGAAATAGCATGTCGAACTTCATGTCGACATATAAATAGAAGAGAGAGTCAATAGGATACATCACGTGAAGTACATGTGTTACACAAGAGCAGAAAGCGTAAATAGGAGAAAGCGGAACAAAGTGAAATATGAAACAAAGTAGGTGGCTCCACCTATAATCATGTGCTCGATTTCATCCACAGGTAATATGAGCAATTTCATACCTTTAATGATTCCCATAGTTACATTTTGCTTCCCTACGTGTCTATTCAAAAGTGTAATATGCCATTTCATTTTAATTATCAGGAAATAATTTAGCTGATATATTTAACAATGTGCAAATATAAATTCAAGAGAAAAAATGTTATACTTAAAACTCAAACCAATCGCCATTTTTATATTAATTAATTAACTGCCAAATTACTGATACACTAGTTCTGCTAACTTTCTGCAAGGTAGTTTTAAGTAGGACTAACATCCAATTAAACATGATGGTAACCAAAAAACAAAACATGCCACAGAAATTAACAGAAGACCTACAATTAGTGATATTACTTTGAATGTAAAGGCAATCGTAATAGACTGCTCCTTATCCAAAATATAAGAATATGCTGTATTCAAGAGGCTAAGAAGAATGAGGAAGGACACCCAGTAATATTCTGAAAATTGGTTGTAAAAGAAATTAAAATCATAAGCACCATAGAAACAAACAAAAAGAA